TTGATTTTTTACAGAGAGGAAGGGAGAGGGATAGAGAGTTAGAAACATCGATGAGAGAGAAACATCGATCAGCTGCCTCCTGCACACTCCCCCACTGGGGATGTGCCCGCAACCAAGGTACATATCCTTGACTGGAATCAAACCTGGGACCCCTTGAGTCCACAGGCCGATGCTCTATCCACTGAGCCAAACTGGTTAGGGCAATTTATTTTCTCTTAATGTGCATGGATTTCGTGCACCGGGCTACTAGTATATATATGTATCTACACTAATAAAAGAGAAACATGGTAATTAGCGTACGACCGCTACCCTTCCCATTGGCTAATCAGCATATCCTTATGCAAATTAACTGTCAGCCAAGATGGCGGCCGGCAGCCAGGCAGCTGGAAGCGAACATGAGGCTTGCTTGCTCCAGTGACTGCAGACTCCAACGTTCCCCACCTGACTTGCCGGCCTCTGAGTTGCAACTCTAAGCAACTATGTACTATGTTGCAAATAAGAAGCTAAACAAAACCCCAGAAACCAGCTTTCAGCCTGCCGGGATCTCAGAGCTGAAGTTATACATTGTTTCGATTATAGAACGGCAAACAAACCAGATATGAAGCCTCAGAGCTAGAGCCAGAGCTAAAGCTGGCCCAGAATAAAATAAAAAAAGAGAAAAAAAAGGAGCGGTTGGGAGCTTCAGTCAACAACCGCCAGCCTGAAAGCAGCCCTCAGCCCCTCACCCAGACTGGCCAGGCATCCCAGTGGGGACCCCCACCCTGAAGGGTGTGGGACCAGTTGCAAACAGCCATCATCCCTTCATCCAGGCTGGCCAGGCACCCCAGTGGGGACCCCCACCCTGATCCAGGACACCATTCAGGGCAAACCAGCCGGCCCTCAGGCCTCTATCCTATATAGTAAAAGGGTAATATGCCTCCCAGCACCGGGATCAGCAGAGCAGCGAGGCTCCCGGCACTGGGATCAGCGTGACAGGGGGCAGCGCCCAAACCCCCTGATCGACCTGCAGCTGTGTGTGTGACAGGGTAGAGCCATAACCTCCCCATCGGCCCTGCCCTGAGTGTGACAGTGGTGGCGCCCCAACCCCCTGATCGGCCCTGCTCTGTGGGTGATAGAGGGCGGCGCCCCAACCCCCTGATCCGCCCTGCTCTGTGTGTGACAGGGGGTGGTGCCCTAACTCCCCTATCGGCCCTACTCTGTGCGTGACAGGGGGGAGCTCCCCAACCCCCTGATGGGCCCTGCTCTGCGCGTGACAGGGGGGAGTTCCTCAACCCCCTGATCG